CAGGGGTGTGTGTGGCTGTTGCTTCAGGCACCGCCCCCAGCAGCTCTCACTGGCCACGGTTCCCCGTTCCCGGCCAATGGGAGCTACTGGGATTGGTGCCTGAAGCAACAGCCACACACACCCCTGTGCCTCTCCTCCCCAGGTTCTTTCCGCTTCCCGGAGTGGCGCGGGGACAGGGTAGACAGACAGGGAGCCTGCCCTGCCCCCCAAACCCCTCCTGCAGCCGAACCCCCTGTCCTGAGCCCCCTGCCACACCCTGACCCCCTGCTGCACCCCAACCCACTGCCCTGAGCCCCCTGCTGCACCTGCCCTGAGCCCCCTGCTGCACCCTGCACCCCGACTCCCTGCCCTGAACCCCGCTGCATCCTGCACCCCAACCTCCTGCCCTGAGCCCCCTGCCGCACCTGCACCCCTCCTGTCCCCTTGGGGGCAGGGAGGGGGCGGAGTTCGGGTGGGGATTTCAGGGAAGGGGTTGGAATGGGGGCAAGGAAGGGGTGGGAAGAGGTGGGGCAGGGGCAGGGCCTCATGGAAGGGGTAGAGTGGTGGGCGGGGGGAGGTGTCAGTAAATGCGGCCCTCGGGCCAATGTACTAGTTCTCATGTGGCCCTCGTGGTCATTTGAGTTTGAGACCCCTGTTCTAGAATAAGGAAGGGCATGAAAACTCTTCCACCAAGAATGCACATGTAGAAGGCAACTATAATTTGGCTCTGGAGATGTGGAGCACAAAGGGGGTACTGGTCATCATTGTTCGTATTCCTCATGAATTTTGTCTGGAAAAATGGGAGGTAAGGCCATGGCTCTGTCACCTCTGCACACCAGCAAGTGCTAGCAAGAGAGGGCTGGCTAGACTTTTTTGGTATGCCAAGTCCTACTTCTCAGCATGATTCCTTTAGAACCCAGAAGAAATGATGTCTTGCTGCCTTCTGACAATGGAAACAACCAAGCAACTTCATGCTTTCTCTTATGCTGCCCCTCATGCTTAGGAGGAGCTTTTCATAAACATTTGCAAAACTAGCTCATTCTCCTTTATATAATCCCCCTCACAACTCTCCTTTCCTGCAATGCCTACACAAAACTTGACAATGATTAGGCTGGTGATGTGGTAAGACCACTGCCTACCATGCTGAAAAATACAGCCTCATTTCCTTGACCTCCCTGTCTGCCTCTCTGTATCCCTCTGTTTTCTCGTGTATTATACTTTGGAAGCTTTCTGGGGCAGAGACCATCTTTTTGTCCTGTGTTTGTATAGCGTCTGGCACAGTGGGGTTTTGTTCCATGACTAGGGCTCCTCAGTGCTATAATATATTTATATTAATAATAAATAATAATAATGGCCTTATGCTGATGGCCTTTTCTCCCCTCCCCAGTATGGATTTGCCTTATAAGAACATAATTTAACCCTTTCAATAAACA